CGGGCAGTGACTTCTTGGTGTGCTGTGTTGAGAAGGATTCTGAGGGACATCGTTGGGACAGTAGGCAGTGACCAATCAGCGGGGCCCTGACTGTGGAACTGGGGAGTGGCCATGGCAGTCCCTTGCTTAGCGGCATTCCTCACAGAGGAGCTCCTGACACCCCAAGTGTGGTCCTGCTGTCCCTTGGGGCTGCCGGGCAGACTTCTCCACGCAGCTTGTCAGGACGACACAGGGAGCTGCTCACTCAATTCTGGTGTTATCCAACAGCGTCATCACAGACAGTCCTTTCTCTGCTCCTGTTCCTAAATAAGGAGCTCAAGGCCTTGCCCCTAAGCCCCACACTGGCTCAGCGGCAGGGACGGTCTTTCTAAGAATGAGGGCTACCCTTCTCCGCACAGGGCGTGCTGGGCAGCAGGGAGGCGGCGGCAACCACTGCAAGCTTGGCAGCCAGCCTCCTGGGCACTGATGCCCCTCCCGACTCTCCCAGCCTGAGAAGCTGCCAACTGCCGTCCACGTGTCCCTGACCCGGGTTCGTCCATGGGAAGTGCCTCGGATAATATTTGTGTCACTGGGAACACTGTTTGTCTGATGGTTGTTAAAGGGCCAGTGAGGACGCTGGGGGAGGGTGGCAGAGGGACGGAGCTCAGAGAAAAGGCAAATGGGAGGTGCCCTCATGGCAGGCACTGGGTGACCAAACAGGACCGCTATTCTGTGCAGCCCCTGCGCCGAGCCAGGCGCCGAGCCCTGAGCGTGGCTCTCAGGAGGCCCTGGACTCCGCAGGGCCCCACACCCCCCTGCCAATTGCCTCGGGGACACCAACTCCCCCACGCCTGGCCTCTGGGGCACAGAAGCACCCCGTGGCATGAGCTCAACTAAAGGAATGGCTCTGACCAGCAATCCACCCCAGGCGAGATCCCTGGGAGCCGTTCCCTTCCAGAAGCGAGTGGGAGGGGGAGCAGGGCCTCCACAAAGTGGAAGAAATGCCACTGACCTGCGGTGTGGCTCAGGGTGACTCTCTCTCTTTGCTCAGGCCTTTGTTTGTCCTTCTATGAAAGGAGGGCACGAGAGTACTGAATCTCTAGCACGGGCAGCCCCCCGCTCACTTCCACATCCGTGGCAGACATCAATAATCAATCATGCCACCCTCAGAAGCTTCAACACAGACTCCTGCGAGCCAGCTGCAATTCCCTGGCCGAGGCCCACAGAAGAAAATCCACTTTAGGTAGCTTAGATGAGTGCCAAAGGTCCCATTCTAACACGGATTCCTCTTTGCTGTTGTTAAATGCTTTTCTTTCCCGGTGCCGAGGCCAAGCCACACTCCTCTGAGCCTGACCCTTGGCAGAAACTACTCCTTCATGGAAGCACGGGCTGGACAGATGTGAGATGGGCGGCCCTGGCCGGCAGGGAGCACCTTGGGCCTGTCTGGTACTGGCTCCAAAATGGCAATTCCATTTCTAACCCGTCGCTGTGCCAAACGCAGGTAACTCGGAAATTTCCCAAGATACTCAAGTTTCTGAATTCTAGGGAGGTGGTACCAGAAAGAGCTCCAGGGACTGGACCAGTTCTCAGATGAGAAAATCGAGGCCCCATTAAGAACCCAGGTCTCTGGCACCTCATCCTGTGCCAAGTTTCTCCTCCATCCATTTTCCCCTTGTTATCACATTGGTTTATTTCTTAAACATGGGGGGAAAAGCACAAATATTACTATTCTTTCCCCTTGAAGAGGTATTTTATACTACTAATACTAGTACTAGCACTAACAATAGCTAACCATTTACTAAGAACAATATTGAGGGCTTTGCATTCATCATCTTTATTGAATCCTCAAATAGCCCAATGAATCTGCAATAGTAAAAACGGAGGCACAGAGAAGTCAAGTAACTTGCCCAAGGTACAACAGCTATTAAGTCACAGAGCCTGGATTCACTCCCCATCCGAGGAGCTGAGTTCATTCTCCTCGCACAACGGTGTTCCCTGCCACTGCCTCCTTGGATCCCACACCCCTCGGGTGGCCAGGACAGGGAGCAGGTCTCACTTAACAGAAGAGAACACTAAGGCACAGCAAGGCCAAGGACCCTGCTGCTGAGCACTGGCTGAGCTGGAAACCAGTGTGGTGACTGGCATGAGGCCAAGGGCCCCGGGGCCTCCCACTCTGCAGGCAGCTGGCCCAGGGAAGGCTCCCCACATCTCCCTAGCATGGCCGCTCCAGGTTTCCCCGCCAAATCCAGATGGCCTCAAATTCGACGACCCTTCTGGGCATCCTCTGGTGAACGGCATAAAGAGCTACTGTCTTTGCCCTGGCAGTTTAGCTCTGTGGTTAGAGCACGGGCCCGTGGACCAAAGGGTCCTGAATGTGACCCCCGGTCCCATCGTGGTTATGTGGGACCCAACCAATCGAAGTGTCTCTCTCACATCGATGTTTCTTCTTCCCCTTTCCCCCTACCCAACCCCCATCTAAAAATTAATGAAAAAATATCCTCAGGTGAGGATTAATTTTTTTAAAAAAGCTACTGCCCTGGCCAGTTTGGCTCAGCGGTTAGAGCGTCGGCCTGTGGTCTAGAGAGACCCGGGTTCGGTTCCCGCTAAGGGGATGTACCTCGGTTGCAGTTTGTCCCCGGCCCCGGTTGGTCGTGTGGGTGGCAGCCACTCGATGTGTCCCTTTCACGTCGATGTTTCCCTCTCTCTCTCTCTTCCACTCTATCTGTACAAAAAAATGGAAAAATGTCCTCGGGTGAGGATAAAAAAAAAAGCTACCAAATCCAGTGAGTCATAAACACACCCCCACCCCCACCCCCACGAGCAAGGACATATCTTCTCCTCGGTTAACTGACACATCTAGTGGCTAAAAGCCCTTGGCCTCGGGGAGTGAATGCGGGGAGACAGAGGCCAGGCACGGGCCCCTGAAGAGTCTTCTCTCACAGGCACTGGGCTAAGTTCCTCATGCTCTTCACCAAATGCTTCCGGCTCATTCCCCTTCTGCCGCATGCTAGCAGGGCCTTTCCCGGCCTCCTTGAGGTTGGGTGGGCTATGGGACTAGTTGTGGCCAATGACTGCATGGAATTAGCACTTCTCACTTCTGGGTGGCAGCAGGTCCATTTCTTTCCCTTTGTCACATGGTGGCAGTATTCCATATGATGGCTGCTTTCAGCCTGGGTCCAGAGCTCCTAACTGACCCACAACAGACACGTGGTGTGACTAAGAAATAAACTGTTGGGGTCTTGAGCTACCAAGATCGCCTTTTACTTTTGGGATCTTCGTTCCTGACAGTTACAGCACCAATGTCAACAGCGCTTCCTAGAAGCCAGCACCTTGCTAGGTGTTGTGGGGTGGGGGTGGACAGCACAGGGACAGAGATCCAACAGGTCCTGGAGCTCCAATCTCCAAGAGCTCCCAAGCTTGTGGCAGAGATCAGCATGGACAGGGCACCTCTTATCTAAAGGAGATAATGAGATGTGCCCAAGGGAGAGTCAGGGTAGAAACAGACCACTTCTGACCAAAAGAGGTCAAGGAAGGCTTCTGGGAGGAGGTGGCAATGTAGTTGGCCTTTAAGAACGGGTTGGATTGGGTCATGAGGAAATGGGCAAAGGATTCCAGAGAGAAGGAAGAGCAAGGACGAAGGACAGGAAATGCTGCAGAACAGACTGTGCTGAGATAAAAGGTCCTGAAAGATGAGAAATAAGAAATGAGGCTAAAGGGCTTAAGTTGTAGAGATCTCGATGCTATCCCCTAGACACAGTGGGGAACCTCAAGTGTCTAATCAGGGCGTGACACGCTTAGTGTTCTTGCAGCCAGAATGGAGGCCAGGTGAGGGCAGGGAGACCCAAAGGCAAGGTTGTTAGCGGGACGCCGCGATGACCCAGGTGGCCACAAGCAGCAAAGGAACAGGTAGAACGGGGAGCTCGAGGGTGATTCCCAGAGGCTGGAAAGAAAGGACAACAGGACTTGGGGAAACAGACACAGCGGAACTTCCCCACGAGGCCCTGCATGCCACTCATGGGACGTGAGCCTAGAAGTCAGGATTGAGTTACAGCTGGGCCTGGAAGGACAGGGAGATGGCAGCACTTCTAAGAACACACTGGACATGGGGCACGAATAGGAAGGCACCCCCAAACAGACCAGGCAAGCCTCGATGGCAGGCTGAGGCACATGGACTCTAGCTTACAGACCTGGGTTTGCACACTTCGGGCCCACAGAATGACTGACCCACAGACATGTTTCGTTTGGCACATTTCAAGTCGAATTAGTTGCCAACATTTAAAGCCAAAACAATTTACATGAAAATTCTCATTTCTGGCATGTGGTATGTCCAGAGAGCTGGCCTACCCACCCCCACCTAGTTGTAGTCAGCGAGGAGGACCCCCCTCTGCACCTGGGGTGTGGGTGCTCCAGCTGGACATGGTCCCCACCACCTGCCTGCTGGCTCATCTCTCCTTATGCTACAGAAACCTATCTGCTGGGCCTTTGCGAACCTGGTGGGGATGCAGGCAGCCCAAGGGGTATCCCCTGGCTCATGCTGGAAAGTGAAGGGAGAGATGATGTCTAAGAAGCTCACTCCCAGAGCTCCTCGGAGCCTGGCCCAGATCAGAAGAGTCAGGGGAAGGGACCAGTGCCACCGATCCGACCCTGACTGAGCATCTGCTCTGAGCAGGACCTGCACTGGGAGCTGTCCCCGGGAGTCTCCAGTAAAGCAGAGGAAGAGAAATCCAGACAGGCATTTGGGACCCCAGGCAACATGTACTGTGCCAGACCCACCCGGGGCCAGGGAGCTCCAAGGCAGGAGGGACTCACCAGTCCACAGAAAGTTCCAGGCACTTGACTTAAAAGTCTCAAAGGATGAGTAGGCCTCGCCACGTCAGGTGGAAAGAAGAGAGCTCTAGGCTAGAACTATGCCAGCAAAGGTATGTCTAAGCCCAGTTCTCTCCCTGAGGGCACAGGGCAGCAGCCAAAGGCTCTCAGCCAGGGACTCTGTCCCACCCCAGCGCTCTCCGACCAGCACTCACCGAGGGTCTGCTGGTTGCGGACGCCGCCGATCACCACACAGATCTCAGCGGGCACATCGCCGGTCCCATCCTTGCTGACTGCCTTATTCTCCTCCTTGGCCTCGCCCTGCCAGATCACCTCCTGGATGTAGTCGTCGGGCACCTCTGTCTTCACCTTCACCTCCGTCATCGTTCCCTGCTCGGCACTCAGGGAGGCCTCGGCCGGCACGGGCTCTGGCCCCTCCACCTTGGTGCTCTTCTGGCTGCGCTTCAAGCGCTCCCTGGGAAAGAAGAGAGTCTGTTCAGTGTGGACCCCAGACCCACCCCAGGGGGTTGCAAAATCTTTAGCTACAGACCCACCTCAAATAAACCTCTCCTTGAAGCACATGGCTGCCCCTCAGGGTCCTCCAGGGGACCCTGGGCTCCAAGAAGCAGTTTGAAAATACTGGGCTGGCGTGGCTCCAACTCCACCCATTTTGCAGATGGGGAAGCTAGATGTGCCAAGGAACTCCTGTAACTGCAGTTACAAGAGACCGACGAGGGCAGCTCTGGCTGGCTGAAATCGCTTCTCAAGCTACAACGTGCACATAAATCAGCTGAGAATGTTGGTAAAATGCAGATTCTGGGTCAGCAGGCCGGTCGGCCTGAGAGTCTATGTCTCGAACAAGCGCCACTGAGGCGGGTGCGGCCAGTCCTCCAGCCGCACCTGCAGCAGCAAGGGCTTCAGTGGCTCGATGTGCAAAGTGTCTGGTGCTGTTCCCTTCGCTCCTTGGCAGAAGGCCTGGAGATCTCACCGGAGCTCGTCCCCGCTCCAGTTTTACAGATGGGGAAGCTATAAGCCAAAACGGCTCACTTGCTTGAGATGTCCCGGAGCCAACACTTGGCGCCCAACACGCTGGCCTCTAGGTGGCTCTTCAAATATCACAAAACAGCCTCGAGGTAAGAGCTCAATACTGAGGTGGGTGGGACATGTGGACACTGAGGCCCGAGCAGAGCGGTGACTTGCTCAGGGCCACACACAAGATTGCTGGCAGGCCGAGGCATGAGCCAGGTCCCGCCATCTACTCCTGAACCATGTTATTATAAGGGCCCCCTCGGCCTTCTGGCAGGGGACTGTCACCATGACTCCTGTCTGAGTGGGGAAGCCGAGACATGCACAAACTAGGAAATCAAGTCTGTCTCAGGCCTGTCCAGCCTTCTGCACTGTGAGCTTCAGGCCCAGACCAGAGGCACACAGGCAAGATCCACTGGCAGCCAACTGGGAGGCAGGGACCCGGGTTCTGATCCTGGACCTACAGTGGACTTGCAGTGTGACTGTAGACAAGACTCTCCTCCTCTCGGTTCCAGCTCCATCTACCACAACAGCGTGAGTTGCATCACCTCCGCTGTCCCCCCCAGCTCTCTGCCAGGGTGGAGAAACGGAGCAGAGAGAGGGAGAAGGCCCCAGCTAACAAGAGGTCTGAGAAAGGCCACTGGGAAGGTGCTATGGACTAAACTGTGTCCTCAACCCACCAATTTACATGAAGTCCTAATCCCCATTGTGACTTATCTGGAGAGAGGGTCTTTACAAGGTAATTCAGGGTAAATAAGGTCATAAGGGCGGGGCCCTAATCTGATAGGATTGTGGCCTTAGAAGGGGAAGAGATCGCTCTTTCTCTGTCCCTGTCCCCACCATGTGAGGACAAGGTGGCTGTCTGCAAGCCAGGAAGAGGGCCTTCCCCGGAACCCAACCATGCTGACACCCTAATCTCAGACTTCCGGCCTCCAGACTGTGAGAAAGTGTCCAATCTATAGTATTTTGTTATGGCAGCCTGCGCTAACTAACCTTGGGCTGGACATGGTCCCCACCACCTGCCTGCTGGCTCATCTCTCCTTATGCTACAGAAATCTGGCCAATGAGGCCAGGACTCAGACGAACGGGACAGGGATGAAAAGACAGGTGGAGGGGACACCAGCCAGAGGCAAGGGCTATCGGGTCAGCTACTTCCTGCGGGACTTGAGCCAGCTCCCTAACCTCTGAGTTTCAGTTTTCAAATCTGCGAAATGGAGCTAACAGGGTTTTCGCAGGGATTTCAATCAACACTTGAAAAGCACTGAGCACAGTGCCTGGCCTCTAACAGCTGACAAATAGTTAGAACATCTTCGGCACCGGGGGGCCCAGTGACACCTCCTCCCAGTGTGCTTGCCATGCCGGGCGGACACCATCTGACCTGTGCCCTTCTCCTCAGCGGGAAACGTAAACCTGGGTGATTCAGTCCCCTCAGCATCCATTTCCTGTATTTATTTAAGAAACACTTCAACAGTTTCCTATGTGCCAGGCACTGTTCCAACGCACGGCCTCTTCTCATCCTCAGCTACAGCCCTGTGAAGTAAGTCCTGGCATTGCCCTAATTTTACAGATGAGGAAACTGAGGCACAAGGTGGGAAACAATTTGTCCAGAGTCACATGGGAACCAAGATTTGATGCAGGCATCCTGGCTCTCAGCTAATGCTCCCCGCCTGGGAGAGAAAGTTTCCGAGGGAAGCCTGCCCACCCGCACCCATGGCAGCCCCCATGGCACCCATTCTTGCCCTTGAGCCCCCCTGCTAAGGCCCAGGGCCCCCTGGGAGGAAGCCGTGCCTATCCCGTCCCAGAAAGAAAGCATTTGAGTTTGGGGAGGCCCAGGAGCAAAACCGGGACCGACAGGTTTGAGAAGTTACAAGGTGACAGCTATGGCTTAGAGAGGGAGAATATTTATTTTTTGTTTTGTTTTGTTTTTAATTTTTGTGGGTGGGGTGGTGGTGGTGGCGGGTGTGGAGGGAGATAGTTCTGCCGGCCGGCCAGCAGCAGGAGGGGACAAGCTGGGTAAGGAGCTCCCTGGCCCTGCGGCACTGGAGCAGAGGCTGGCTGGCGGCCGGGCAGGGATGGGACGTGAGGACTTGAGATGGAAAGAACTTCAGGGTTTGAAGTAGGATCACCTGGGGGCCAATTCTCAGCACTGCCCCTCTCAAGCCGTGGGTTTCTGCCTAAATGACTTCACACATACCTACCTCCACCTCAAGCCTGTCTTCACACCCACACAGTGGGTGAACACAGCACCTACCTCTCAGCGCTGTGATGCGGAGACAACCAGGCAATACCTGCATGGACCGCGGATAGTGGCCCCAGGGGAGATGTTCTATGGGCAGCAACTGTCTTATGGGGGTGGGGGAAGGGAGTGTGCACAGGACGTAGGGGAAGGTTCTTACATTGCATAGATTTTAGTGCAGGGGCTGGGGAGGTAGACAAACAGGAGCTCAAATGCCAACTCTATCACTTCCTGGCTGGTGACACTGAGCGAGACCCTGACCTTCTCTGAGCCTGTTTTCATATCTGTGAAGCGGGGACCCCCCACACCTACTCAAAAGGTCTTGTGAGGATCAACTGCAAAAATGTAAATCCAGGACCTTGTCTAAATGGACTCAGAGAGACGACCATGCTGGTGAAGAACTGTGAAAAAGGGCTGGAATTCCCATTCCCTAGCCGAGACCACGTGGGTGCCAGTGGTCAGCCAGGGTCCTGTCTGACCCTCAGTGCCACCCAGCAAGACTATAGCCCACAGGTCTGGGGGTGGGTGGGGTGCTGGACAGGCAGCTGAGGGTTCTTCCCGGCTTAGCCTTCGCTAGTCCCTGCCCTGGCTGCCCAAGCACAGTGCTCCCCAGGACCGGCAAAGTGGCCCACCAGAGCGGGTGCACAACCTGCCAGTGCTCCCCACAGCGGAGGTCACGGGCAGGGAAGGGAACACTGGGTCCCCTGCCTCAGCCCTTTCTTCACTGCCCACGTTCTGAAGCTCAGCCCGAGTCCTGTGAGCACTGACCATGCCATCTGAACGGACTCAGTGTCCCCTCCTGCTCTTGAGGACCTCACTAGCATCGTGGTGTCCTGCAGAGAGAGGAGCTGCTGCGAGTCAGAAAGGCTGGGTGTCCGCATACCCTGTGACCTCGGGCAAAAGACTCCCTTCTCTGAGCCTCAGTTTCCTTGTCTGTTAAAGGGGGACCAAAATCCTTGCCAGGGCGGGGGCAGATGGGCCAGGGAGCTGATGGACAGATTTCCATGGCGGCTGTCGTGAGAATGACATCCCCGCCTCTGGGAAGCCCGCCCTGCTCACTGGAGATGGAGCGAGACGCCTGTCTGAACGTCCCACCCGCCCCGCACAGGCGGCTCCGGCACTTCACATGGAGCTGTGGAGCCGTCCACTCGCCCACAGGCACGAGGGCACACGGCACACTCCCTCCCATGTGCCACCCTGAGCCCTCGCTGCGCAGAGGACACAGGCAACTTCTCTTCCCCAGCTTCACGCTTCAGATTTACAAGCCCAAATGTTGCTTTTCTCGGCTGCTTTGCATTTAATTAGGCGTCCTAATAACAATGGGATCACAGGAGTACTTACATCACTTTGAATTAGTGGCGCGGCTCCTTCTAACTTCTGTAAAATATTTTTTTCTTATATCATTTTTTAAAATAGAGCTCATTATTTTAATTATATCCATTTAAATGTACAGTGGAGGCCTTGGATATTCTCAGCACGAATCATTAGGTATATTAGTGAAAAGCCCTCGGAATCCATCTACATGCTGACACTCCACAATCTATTCTATTTGTGTCTCTGTAAAACAGATTTATATATAGATAACTACAAAATAGTTGCTCAAGATACGCTATGAATTTTATATTTAACCCGAGTCACACTTCAACATAAAATCTAAAGTCGGGCTCTAGGAGATTTCTCAGCAAGTACACGGTGTCGGTGGTCGCTGGCTACTACCTGTGCCAGGTGCTGGGAGAGAAGCCAGACCAGGCAGGCCTCGCCCAAGGAACTCCCTCAGAACCCTCGCCGTTCACTAAGGCAATGGTTCTCAAAGTGTGCTCCTGAAAGGCCTCAGGGTTCCATGGCAGTGGCCCCAAAGCACCCATGAGGCCTGAAAGAGGAGGGTGATATTGGGTAGGGCTCCAGGATCCCTACTCTCCCTTTGATATGCACAGCTTGGCCTGATGTATACATATGTGGGCTTCTATCTCCCTGTAGTGGGCTAAATGGTGGCCCCCCAATATATGCCCACATCCTAATCATCCCTAGAACCTGTGAATGAGACCTTATTTGGAAAAATGGCTCTTGGCGAATGTAATTAATTTGAAGATTCTGCAATGAGATCATCCCGGACTATGCGGATGGGCCCTACAGCCATGACAAGTCCTTAAGAGAGACTCACAGAAGGCTGGACAGACAGAACAGGGATGATACGGAGAAGGAGGCGGCCGTGG